ATATATAACACTACAAAATGCTTATAAGTGAATTTCAACGGTACTACACCTACGACTTTATCACCTTTCAAAATTTATCATATGGTCACATATGTTTGATAGTGTTTTAAATTTTAACATTTGTTTTAGAAATCATAATGTTCTGGAATTTTGTAGGTGTGTGCGCCTTAGTGAGATGCACATGAATAAAATATAAAACAAATACTTTGAATGATAAAAATTATGTTAAATACCCCTATAAAAATTATGCAAAAATTTATGGGGGTATTTTGGTCTATTTATATTTTTCGAAATATGTTTTTCATATTTTTATTAGGTGCGTCTCACTAATATGTACACACGTTCTAAATTTCATATTATTTCAATTTATAGAACAAAAATAAAAAATAAAATACTACTAGACAATCGTGATATACTGCTACAGTAAACGCCCGCGACCCCGACCTAGATTGAATCTAGGCTGATCTGACAATCACCGATGTCCGGTAGTGTTTGAATTTTAATTGTTTTTTTTACAAATCCAACTCATTTGAAATTTTAGTTGTGTGTTCTTAAAAAATAGGTCAATCTACGAAAAATATAAAAAACATATTTTACATGAAATAAATTGATCAAAATACCCTCGAAAAGTTTCGAAGGTATTTGGTTAATTTTTTTTGTAAATTATTTATTTTATATTTTTATTAGGTGTGTCTTGATTAGAAGAACATAAGCCTAAAATTTAAAGTGATTTGAATTTGTAGAAAAAAAAAATTTAAACACGAAATGAAGTCGTAACCATTAAATCGGCTTAGATTCAATCTGAGTCATTAAGATTTACTATAACAATCAGCGAGTGGGCATACATAATCCACTCCATATATATATATATATACTCTACTCTCAATACCTCATGTGAGAGAAACTATAAAAATGGACCTTCACGTAACATTCATAAGAAGCTAATGATTAACATTAACGTATGTGCAAGGCATGGTATGTCTAATTAACCTTTATGACGGCCTGGATTATAATTGGAAAAATATCTCAATATATTCTATTTTGTTGTACCATTACCCGTTATACCTATATATTTTAAAACTTACCAAAGATATCAAGATTTTAGAAAAGGGAAAAGTTTATATAAGGCTGCAACCTTAAAATGTAGAATTACAGACGCACCTCAAAAATCTATCGGAAAAGTTGTTTTAGTGTTGAAAACCTCTCTATTTGATCATCTCGACATCGAGATGTATGAATATATATAAAAAAAGTTTTTGAGTCCCAAAAATCGTGCATCTTGCAACACATTATCTAAACCGTCCATTTTCAAGATTTTCATATGTTTATAGATCTCCTTAATTTTAACTATTTTTCCAGTTTAAATTTTTTTGATTAGATATAAAATAGATTTTAAGAGAATCCTAAAAAATTTTACAACAAAATTACGATAAAATTTGGAGGTGCACTTTAATTAGATTGCTTAAAATTACAACCTTATAGAAACCGCACCCTTCAGAAAAAAAAAAAAAAAAGTTTTACGGCCCTAAACCCAGCCGACCATCTTTTATCACATTTATACCCCAAATAAATATAAAAAAAACAACTCTACTTCTCTCTCTTGAAATCATTTTTTTCTCCCTATCTCTCTCTCTATCCGCATCTTTCTCTCTCGTGCGTATTTCTCACCTAAGCCTCTCTCTGTCTCTTTTTCTATCGCCCCTCTCCCCTAAATCTCGTTCTGAATCCCCCCAATCCTGTCACTCTCACTCTCACTCTCACTCTCACGCTCGCGCTCGCTCTCGCTCTCGCTCTCGCTCTCGCTCTCTCCCAAAAACCATCTCTCTCTCTATCACCTCTTTCCCCCCGAAGTCCCTTTCACTCTCTTTATCCCATACCTTCTCTCTCTCTTCCTCTCTCTTGCATCTCTTATGAGTTCCTCTCCTAAAAAAATCTGGCAATTCTCTCATTGTAGCATATAAAGCTTCCAAACCAAATAAGACCTATAATTTTTCATGAAAACCCATTTCAATTTCTCAATGGTATGATCACAGTGAGGAAACAGCTCATTTTCTCTCCCTATGTACACTTAATATGGCCAAATAAACCATCACAATGCATATGATCCTCTCTCTCGCTTCCTGAAATGAGATATCCAGCCAGAGGCTACCTATATCCATAAATACCTAAGCACTTACATTTGTGTTACTGAAATTTCATAAGAAACCCACATCAATCATCTTAAATTCGATGTTTCTTTCTCTCCATACCGGTAGGTTCTTAGGAAACTCACTTCAAGACTCAAGTTTTCAACAGTCCTTGTTCTTTTTTGAAAACTTGGGTCTTGAAGTGAGTTGGCCAGACAGCGTTTATGTTTGCTGCGGTTTAAGTCACCCCATTTGTGCATTTATTTTTTGGTCAATCTCTTTAAAGGGAAATAATATTTTAGAAAAATATCAATTAATGGTTAAATTATTGTTATATGTATTTGTCCGGCTCTTAAACTGGTGATGGGTCTGATCTAACTGTTGGTCAAACTGGTCGGATTGAATTTAAAAAAAAACTAGGAAAAAACTATAAATAAAGTTTAAAAGTATGGAACACATTGAAAATTTGCCCAACTTTGTTTCGCATGTTGAATTGATCAAATTGATAGGTTAGATTGGCTAAAACTGGACAAACGTTTCTTGTGATCGTTTTTAGATGAAACTCGATTTTTACTTAGACCAGACTGTCCAAAAACATTGTGAACAATCCAACTATGACCGGCATGTTTAGTCCGGTCTTAATAATTATAGATCAAATTGTTTTAAATAAACCTCATCTATGGACAAGTTACTTATCTTTTAAATTCATTTTTATTGGGTACCCATCGACTCACCTAAACTGCCCTGTAAAGGGTTTGAAGCCCTAAATAAAAAAAGAAAATTGTTTCATGCGGGCTCGACCACATTTCTACACATGCAGTCCAGAAAGTGTAAAGCATCCATTTTAAATATGGATGCAAATAGGTCTCCCATCTAAAAACAATAGAAAGTAATCATCCAAATGTTTTCTTACTAGAATTATTATTTTTACTTTCAAACATTTATTTATTTTTTCATATTCATGATCTCCCTATTAGAGATTACGTGTCCTTAAAAATCCAGTCTTAAAATCCATCTCAAAAGTAGATTTATTAAAAGGCCCGCATTTTTACATACACGGGCTTGGCCGCAGAGAAACCGGGTCCAATAAATAAAGGCATTTTAGTAATTTGACTATTTTAAATTACTTGATCTAAATGACAATATATCTGTGCTTTTTTTTCTTTTTTTTTTGGAATGGTTATCTTTACGGAAATTATCAGAAATATATCTTAATTTTCATTGAATTGAAAAAAAAACCATCAACTTTCATAAACCTCATCCACACTATTTTTTTCTCAATTTTGACATTTTTTTTACCAAAATAGCCTTCACAGTAGTCGTATTACTATAATGACTATCGCATTACAATACTTTAATATAGGGCATTCACGGTAATACGACTACCGTTAAGGTTGGTACAAAAAATGCCAAAATTGAAAAAAAAGAGTGTGGACGAGGTTTTTAAAAGTTGAGGTTTTTTTTTTTTAATTAGATAGAAATTAAGGTATATTTTTTATAATTTCTCTTATCTTACTTGTTTTACATTTCAAACTAAAACATGCTTTTGGTAATATAATTTTTTTTGCAAGGAAGAAACAAGGATATTTGCATCTTTTGGCCTAGTTTACTAGGCCAAACTCCAAAAATTCCCCCAATTATTTCGGTTTCCAAACCTAAAACAAGATTACTTAACGAAACAAATATATTTCACACTTGGAATATAAAACAAACAGGGATATTTAGGTCATTTCTCTTGATTGACTTAGGTCAAATTAACAAAATTCATTCACTAGTTTAGAATTACCGCCTTAGAACTTGGGTGATTTTGGGTATTTTTTTAATAAAATTATTGTGAAGACACCTAAATAAGTAATTTAAGAATATGACCACCATTCTGGTAAATATTGATTAAACGACCTCGTTGATTTTAGAAAAGAAAAATCATTAAAGAGGATGGATCGCCCTAACAAATCATTAAAGGGGTTAAATTATCCTATTAACAATTGCGGGTATGCTTTTTTTTTTTCATTTCACTTATCTACCTCATCAAAAATATTTTTAAAATTTTCCAAGTTGCCCTTGTCTAATATTTGGAATGATGAACAATGAGGGGCATTTCAATAATTTAACCCCCAAGAGGCCTCACCCAAATGATGAAATTCCCCCAAGTTGTTTTGCATTACAAATAAGGAATATATTATTTAATATTAATAATGCAGGACAACAAAGGTTTGAAAATCAGTAATCATCATCATCACAGGCTTTTACCAAACTATTTGAAGTCTGTTATACAAATCTCGGTCTACTATTTTGCTCTATCAAGGGCATTATCCTCAATGATGTCATAGATCTTTGTATTTTTTCTCACTACTTCCAATCATATGTCCTTTTGGGCCTACCCCTTGCCTTTTTTTTAACATTCCAC